GGTCGTCAACTAGAACAGGGTTTCCCGCAGGGTTTTTAATTTTTGGTAACTATTTATCGTTTATATATTGCAGATACATGTTTTATTAAGTTAACCCAATATTATTTAAAAGGGATAATGCAAGAATCGAAATAAATGGCAGTCAGCCCTGTCAGCAATCCCCGAGTTGCCAGGTGTAAATATCTTCAGAATTGATATAGTGAAGAATATAATAATAAATTTACCGACGTGCAATGTAACATCGAGATGTAAGACGATTACCCTGAAGGTCACAGCACACATATCAAATCGGAAAGGGATCGCCACCGTGTCGCCTCGAGCCGTTCAGTATTGTTTGTATGTAACTCCCTACTGCAACGCACACTAATTGGAATCTTAACGTAATCGCCTCGCCTCGGAATAGGCTCCGAACCGCGATGCGGTGCGTGGTTAACTAGCAGTTCCCGTGCTTACGGCTCGTCGTTCCCGCGCTTACGTCTCTCCGTAACTGAGCTCACGGCTTCAGTACTCCTTGCTTTATTCATATCGTGTACCCAATATCTTTTTCTTCGTTTATTTTCTTTTTCCTCTTCATCAAGTGCTATGGCTATGATAGCCATCTCACGTATTGTAAACCGAGACATAACTGTGCGCAACACTCAACGTTTGGATTCAAACTGATTTGGTGCCAACCAGGTCATCCAGCGGTCGGCGAGCCGTAAGCGCGGTGTCGCCTAGCCATAGCCGAGTTGACGTACAGGAGCCGCTGCTACGCTTTGGTTACATGCATACGTTAGGTTGACGCCTGGTTGACGGCGAGGCGAAAGGCTATACGGTGACGATCCCTTTCCGATTTGATATGTGTGCTGTGACCTTGAAGGGGAACGATCAGCCATATCGGATGGGGGACCACGATTTAGTCGGTTGTCAACATATAGTCGCCATTTTGTACGTGATAGTCGAGTGCCGCAAAATGGCGTCACTGGTGTCGACTGTCGGTCAAATTATAATATTTATTTTTTTTAATTACTAAAATGCTCATTAATTTCCGTCTAATGGTCGATCAACAAGTCTATGAAATATAAATAAAAAAAGTTTTTATTCATATAATTTTTATTTGGTCCAAAACTGGGAATGTATATTGATAAATATATGCTGTCTTCAAATTGTCTATCACGTCTGGTCATCCTGTGAAAAAAGAGGCATTTATTCAGCTCTTCAATGTCGTTGCGTAACGGCAGAACTGACAATACATTCAATAATAATAATAAATCGGTAAAAATCTGAGAGAAGCAAACGAGAGTATATTAGTGCCAAAGTAAAAACAAAAAAGTACGCCGACTCGAGCCCTGAGGGAGCAATAATAGCCTAAACGCGTAGAGCTGTCGCTTATAGGACAATCAATCATCAGAAATGCCTAGTCAAGCGGCAGTTTACGAAGGCATGGTATACTACCTATAGTTGCCGTACCTTGAGCATCTTTAGCATCGATAAATTTTGTGTGACGCACACGCACGGGCACTTACAAAACCATTTTCATTGCGGTATTATGAAGTCAACATACTCTTTGGTTTTACTATATTAATATGCTCGACGCGAGGGCTGATATACGTCTGACATGCAAGGTCGCATATTTGCCAGTTCTCACATTATTTGACATATGATAATGTCAGATAAACACAGATCTTAAGCTGGATTTACATTATGAAAATATGTAGTTGCATGAAACTACTTTCATTACATTGATTTCGCTATTAGTTGCACACGCAAACGTCCATCTTCACAATGCATAACTTACATGACATAAAAGTAGTTTAGTGTGTTGCGCATACTTTTGACGAAGCCACTTTCACGCAACTAATTTCACCTAGATTTGGTGGAACTAGTGTCTTGACACCACCTACGCATAGTAAAGCTTCGGAGCCAGTGTCTCAGAGACAGGCCCGGATTTACGACTTTTTCCAGCCGGGGCAGAAACTTGACTTGAGTATTTTATACCTAATGCCTATTATAACAAGACTGATTATAAATTATATCATTACCTAAATTGGTAGTTTCAATCTGCACCAATGAACATTCACAACACGGCATATTCTTTAAGAATATCATCAACAAAATCAGGATTATTTTGTTATAAAGAAAACAATTATTGAATCGAAGGATATATCACAAAAGAAAAAATATTAACTGTCATATGTACAAAATTTTAAACTTTTTAATATTATACAGATTTACGAATGAATTCCTAACCTTAACAACATTAAAATGATGAAAAGATGAAACAATACTATTTTACGTGCAAAAACAGTAAAACTCTAATTTAGTACAGAAACTAAATTATATTTTAACACAATATAACAACAGTCAACTGCTATCTTAATGCTGTAAAATTTTACAAAATTAAATTTTATAACTTAAGACATTATAAAAATTCATTCGTCGCAAAACGTATCGCCACTAAGTACGTAGATACCATACACACGAATTGTAAAGTCAGCGCCATCTATTCGATTTTGGAATGTACTATACCAAAATGATATGCCGACACTACTGCCATCTAGTGCCGAGACATAGTACCAAATAGCCAATAAAATAACTAGTCAGCTAGGTAACTTTTCCAATCAATCAATCAACTAACTATAGTACGGGAGCCCACGATGCTAAATCGGGATTTACTCGAGCGTCATAGAGACCTATTGGGTTGCGAAACTTAGATGATAACAAAAAAAACATTTCATATAATATATACCTTTTCATCGGTGGGGGAAGCGGCTATAGATTTTTAAAAATGTAAAAAAAACCTTGTATGGACATACTCGAGCGCGTCAGATATTAATATCATCCATGTCCTACGCATTTTTAAAAGCTGTCGTATGTTAATCTGATCGTTTCCATGATGGGGGTGGTTATACGTAAGGGTTGAAAATGAAAAAAAAAAATATTTAATCGAGCGCGTCAGATTTTTTGAGGGGATGTCAAGTGAACCTAAAAAAAAAGCTCTCATATAATAATCTGACGATTTGGATGTGACGCAAACGCGTGACCATTATTAGAATGTGCAAAAAAAAAATCGCCATTTTGAAATACTCAAGCGCGTCAGATTAAGATATATATGGTTCATCTTTATGCCCCAGACGTGATATCTCATAATCTGATCATTATCTGAAGGGGTTTACTTAAACTGACACAATTTTTTTTTTTAAATTTTTTTAAATCATTGAGCTTGATTAAATAGAAAAGCACCGGAGTTAGCATGCAAATAAAAAAGTGTATGTTTTTGTATGTAAAATACTTATATTTATAAGAAAATGATTATATGAAAATTTAATTTTTACAGTATTTTTTATTAATTATTATCTTCATCGCTAGAATCATCTTCCTCTTCTTCTCTTAAAATAAGAAAATAAGCAAAAGCGTTGAAAATACGATGTAAACAATATCACGCCACGAACGAGTCTGTGTCATCAGCTGTCATGGGGTCATTGCAACCGAAACCAGAGTGGGGATGGAATGAGAGAGTAATAGACAGAAAAAGAGAGAGAAATAGTGATGCGGAGAAGGAAATATAGGTATCACGTAGCTTAAACGCATTAAATCTTATCGATGAATTTTTATTACTTCGGCTTGTGACAATCGTCAGATTATATATTTTTCGTAATCCTTGAATGATTCCCTTCAAAATAAAAAAAAATTAGCCACGCTCGAGAATGTCAAAGTGTCGTTTTTTTTTACAACTTTGTAGCCTTCCCCCTTCTTTACGTCACTCTCATATTGTCAGATTAGAGGTATGTACACCTTTTAGCATGTAACTAGCTCACCTTACCTTAATCTGACGCGCTCGAGATTTTCAGATGATCAATTTTTTTTTACTAATCTGATCCTTCGTCCTTGCCGGGCGGCCATTTTTATAGGGCTCATACTTGGTCCAGGTACTTAACTGGGTACAAGGTATCCCCCTGTATATTAATCTGCCGCGCTTTAGTAAATCCCGAAATCCCCGCTTCGGCTCCTCTACTACTACAAAGGGCGTAATTTGAAGAATTATTTTTAAAAAATCATTACATTAGTATGCTATTTAGTATTATTACGACACGCCGCGGACTGAATAACGATAATTTATTACGTTTGATATAATTATTACCTGTATGACACGATATACAAAACTGTTAAATTTCTTCACTTGCTTATAAGCCTTAATGCAATGTTTTTAGAGTAGAAAATCAATTGAGGACATTTGACTTATTGCAGTTACCTGAACTGCATTCAACAGCATGTCAGTTTACTTTTGAGTTTTACTTTTGAGTTTAACCCTTAATCTTATCACACTTAAGTCCAAAATTGATTACACACATTCTTGACCTTTTGTAGTACGATTTTTAAATAAAAAAGCAACTTCATCGCTGCCACCATTGGAATTCGCAATCTGTACATGTGAAATATAGTACATCGGGCGACCAATAGCCACGCGCCTGACCCCCGATGAGTGTTATGGAGACAGACCAATAACGCGTTATATTTTATACCTTATGTACATTGAAACAAAACTCACTATAAATTTTAAAGAGTTAGTAGATCTCTGCGTAAAGAAATATTCGCTTTAAGCTATATTGGTTATAACCAGTGGTCGGAATTAGGTAGAGTTATTCATGTACTTACACTGATTTCATACAGCGAAAGAATAAAGTGGATATGCCTCAAATACCGAGATTAATTTTAAAGAGCAGAAAAAATCCAATGATTTTTTAAATAAAAAGTTATTTACTTTTACACAATTTAAACTACTGCACGCACGACGTTGCCAAACTTACATCAATGACATCGGATGTCCAAAGATGTCCAAGATTGTCCATTAGAAATCCCGGGAAGGTCCACATTAATATCAACATTTCGATGCAAGTACATAAATAACTCTACCTAATTCCGACCTCTGGTTATAACTTACTGTACTATATTTTAATCTATGGTACTTTATGTTCAAAAGTCTCACCCGACCCGTAAGCCGACACAAAACTAGTCGTTCAACCTTAACTACTTTATTTTAAGGTACACAATAAATTACACACACCCACGTTACACACTAAAGTCATTGTCTATGGTCACGCACTATCATACCATGTTGCGTCCGTTGTCGCCCGTTATCCTGTCGACGATCTGTAAACAAATTGTTTTAAGTATAGTTTCTGAGATATATAATAGAAAACAATCATCATCATCAGCCCTTTTACGTCCCCACTGCAGGGGCTCAGGCCTTCCTTATGGATGGTTAAGGAGGATGGACCATGATCCTCCACGCTGGCCCAATGCGGATTGGAGGGTATTGACTACTGCAAATGCAGCCGGGACCAACGGCTTAACGTGCCTTCCGAAGCACGGAGTAGCTCGAGGTAATAATTTTTTGGTCACCCATCCCGTGACCGACCCTTGCGAAAGTTGCTTAACAACTACGATCGCGGGCCGCGGCGCTTATCCACTACGCCACCGAGCTACTTCATAAGTAAAACTCTTCATAAGTAGCTATTTTTTTCTCTTTATCAAATAGCCAATCACCATCATACGTCTCTACTGCAGGAGCTCAGGCCTTCCTTATGGATGGTTAAGGAGGATAAACCATTACCCTCTACGCTGTCCATATGCCGATTTGAGGGTATTAACGACGGCAAATTCAGCCGGTACCAGCGGCGTAACGTTCAGAATAGTTTTATGGTCACCCATCCCGTGACTGGCCCTTGTGAAAGTTGCTTAACAACAAAGATCGCGGGAGGCGGCGCTTATCCACCCCGCCATCTAGTACTAAATAGCTTATAGGTGTTGTTTTAGAGATATATGTTATCAAAGCGTCATCATATCAATTAAAATACCAGCCAAATGTTGATGTTAGGTTTAGATGTTTTATGCCGAGAGAAATTAAACATACCTCCTGCAGGGCAATTCCGTACAAAATCCGAATCCGAATTTGAATTCACTCAGGTGACCGATTACACTTCGAAAGCGAATCCGCTTAACCTTGAATATGTATTAACGTTATAGTACAAGTGTAGTGAGTTTCGAAATGACCTATGGAATATCTGACACGTATGAATCAATTAATATATTTTTTTGTAATTTTATAGATATCAAAAGAATTACTACACTTATATAAGGTAAGCGGATTCGCTTTTGAAGTGAATTTTTTTCACCCGAGTGAAAACTAAGTCTTATTTTTACGGAGTCCGAATCGCGCTTGGCTGTTTTTTTTAGAATTCTTATATTACGTCACGTAGAAAGATGTTGTTCTAAGATACAATTAAAAGAAAGCTTAAATCCTTACCCCTCGTATAACTGGTAGGTTCAACAGAGACCCTAATACAGGTACCATCCTTAGGAAGTTTACAGCAGCTGGGAGGAAGCCTCTGAAAAGTTGAAAATGAATATAAGGATTTATAATAATAATTTATTTACTTTTTAAATGAGGTACACTGTAGATTGAAATACAACTCGAGTTCAGCCCATTTAGCCATCAGCTCGAACTATTTGTCTTTAAGAGTCCTCGAACATGACGGAAGATCTATCGAATGTCATATCACTGCACAGTATAAAACAAAGTAGCTTTCTCTGTCCCTATGTATGCTAAATCTTTAAAACTACGCAAACAAAAGATTTTGCTGCGATTTTTTTTCATGGATAGGGTGATTCAAAAGGAATGTTTTTATGTATAATATAAAAAAATAAAGCTTTAAAAACAAATTGCTTACCGAGCTATTTATTGAAACGGATAGACTCGTCTAATCCCTCGTCGTCTTTCGTATGAATTATGTATAACTATGATATCTATCTGTTACTCATTATATGTTATATATGTAAGTATATAATAAATATTATTAATAAATCTTTATTTTAAATGTGCACCCTACTCGCACTGGTTTCCCCACATCATTCTTAGGTTGATTGGTAGAGAATGCGTAAGGCATAAAGTCCGTCGTTGTACTTGAAATGTGCATAGAGTATTAAATAAATATATATATATATATATATTACACATGGTTGGCTGGCTACTTGACTGTTTAGGTAAAAGTATTTTAAATCTTTTATATGATTTTAAACCAATATCAGAACTATTTTTCTCAAAATATTGTTATTATAATAAAGAAGCAAATTTCAATAAACATGAGTACTTGCACTCGCAATAAACACGTTGACATTTAGTTTATTGAAATGTGACGTCACACGATGCTCCGTCATAGCCGCCGGCGTTTCGGTTCTTTTAATACACAGATTATAAATCGCAAGTTAATAGTGCAAAAACAAAAAGAACTACTACATAGTCATTGTTTAAATATTATTGTTGTAACTGTCGAGTAGTCAATTTAATTTATTCACGAGGGTGCCGCCATCTTTTAAAACTCCTTTAAACAGCGAATTCGTAGATTATAATAATTTTATTTCCAAAGAATACTTATTCTATTATATCAATTACTTTGATCTACACACTGGACTATGCCTGAATCGTAATCAAATTGCGTTATGGTTCATTATATACTTATATTTTTGGATAATTATAATATAATATTTATCGATATTAGGCTTGTGTCCTACAAGTGAAAATACAGGTTATTGTCATATGTTCGGAAAATATGAACAATTTAGACTTATAAATATTTTAACAGAATAAATTATATAGCACTTATTTGGAAAATATTGCGCTCTAAAAACTTGAAAAGGTACGGAAAATATACTACAATAATTTGCAATACATATGGAATTAAATTGGTTCCATAAAATGTTACAACTTTCATTATAACAGCTATAGACAAACGCACAAATCATAAATATATTACATAGACTGGCGCAAATACGTTTTTCGCTACCGTAGCACCGTGTGACTTTACTTAGTGCTAGAATTTCTAAAGTGCTTTTGGCTGACTAACAGCATTCCACAAACACAGTACCGTATCTCCGAAACTATTAATGGCAGACATGCTGTTGCTGCTACATTATTTCTTAGATATTAATGGACTATTTATTTATAAAATAAGAAAAGTTGTCAACTAGCCTGTTGTACAGACGGAGAGCTACTTTGTTAAAACAAACTATGTATTGAAAATCAAATATAAAAATAGAGTCCTAAAAATCCTGATATATACTGCTGGAAATGTTAAAACCAAATGTTACCTGAAAAGTAGCAAGAAGCCATATATTTCTGCCACCATGCCAATCATAGGCCAGCCGAGCAGCACAATCACTATCCCTCCGAAGAACGCAACTGATGCCTTCACCTTATGCCGTTGGAAGAAAAAGAAGAATGTCCTTTGCAACCCGATTATACAACTGAGACCACTGATGAATAGAATCTACAAAACCAAAACAAATTTATTATGTCAAAGCATGGACTGCAAGAAAAAAACAGTTCAATAACAATATGACAATACACGTAAAATTTATAATCTTATTTTGGGCATCATAATTCCACATCTGCTAAATCCACACTTCAGAGATCTGGGAAACTAGCAGGAATTCAAAACTTTAATGAACATTCAGAAATCAAACTAACGGTCAATTGCACAAACATTAATTAAAAAAATCATTAGTTTAAAGCTACATTGCCCATACAAATTTGACATTCGTTAGAGCTAAAAGGCGTCATTACACCTTAGTGGTTATTTGTGCAACTGACCGTAAGCCTATTTCTTCTTCTCTGTAATATGGAAAGTATAATGGGTGGTTCACACAGAGCCAAATTTTCCCACACTAGGAAGGCGTCGATAAAACGCGTGGCTAAACCATCAGCTCTGTATATAGCAGACATATATTTCTTATAGGTTTTTTTAAGCGACTATGATATTTTAAGAGGGCCAAGCTTAGTTAGCTTAAGGTTACATTATAAATACATAGCGGGTACTCTAAAAAGGAATAACTGAGCATTATGCACCGGCAAATTTAACAGTTTCCCAAATCTTAAGTTTCAACATGAATTTTCATAAAACTCATTAGATCATATGGACCAGCTAAATTATTATACTTACATTGCCAATGGCAAGTAATCCTTTATCAAATAACAATAATACTCCGAGGAATAAGAATGTCATTCCGAAACCGGCAAGGCCAACACCGATTTCTGCAACAAATAAATATTGCTTTTATTGTATTGTTTAGAGAAAGTATGTCATATCCATACTTTATAGAATACTCTATAGATACTCCATGGGAATGATCGCCTCCATCTTGTCTTGGTCTTTACTAGTGATTTTATAAGGACAGGGATATTTAACAACATAAATTTTAAGACACTAATTTGCAAAATATCATGATTGGATAACTTAAAATACAGGAAAAATATATTACCAAAATTTGCTTTAAACACATGTGACATTAAATTATAAATTAAATAACAAAGATTCCCCAGACAACGAAAAACATATGGGTTTTAGCTACCGTAGCACTGTGTGACATCACCGAGTGCCTAAATTTTTTATTATTGATGGCAGACATGCTGTGTCTTCTACATTATTTCACAGATCCTAATGGATTATTTATTTATGAAATAAACAAGTTGTAAACTAGCCTATTGTATACTTATTATTATTGGTTCAGCTGACAAAAGCTTATAAGCAGAACCAATAACTTTTGCATTAAAGGTTATTTTTCAAATTGACATGCAAATAAATAGGTTTATTGATAATTTAATATTTAATAAGATTAAATAGAAATATCGCTACCTCCGGAGAATAATATGATAACTGCAAAAACCAAAATGTTCAGGAAAAATAAAAAACCGATTTTGTTTAATAACTCCTTTGTTTGAAAAGCTATCCCGAAGAATGATATATCAAATGAAAGCTAATTTTTTAGCGTAACGATGTGAGTTATGTTTCGTGGAAAAGCACTTACAAGAATCGAAAAAATCGCAAAAATAAATATTAGCAAAAATCCTTCCTAAAATGTTTTAAAATAATACGCTATTGTCATGTTATTCTAGTAAAATGACACTTAAAATGTTTTACAATAATAAACTATTGTCATGTTATTCTGGTAAAATAACCTGAGAGAGAGTATGTGCTAATAGTCGATTAGAATGTTATTCAGGGTAATTTAAAAAAAAATATCCAGTGCTAAAAATAATCTTTTTAATGAATATAAAACAAAAACTTCTAATTTTTTTTTTAATTATTAAACTAAAGACAAATACTTCTAAATTAAAAAGAAAATTATTAAACTATGATTTATTAATTATAATTGGATCAATCATCATGGCACTCATCATGGGAATCAAACTATGGGACTTTTATAAATAAGGTAATTCGTCCTCATAACTCGTCGTCGTCACTCATCGTCGTCCTCTTCTGATGACAATACTTCTTGATCTGTCGATATCAAAGACGTATAGAATGAATGATAGTGCCGAGGTATAGCCTCACATGAACACAAACTCTTTAAATCGTTGTATAAAGCTTTAGTAACTGGAATCAGTTTACTGTAAGCACATTTTAAGTCTTCAACATCATAAATTGCAGTCAAAGCTGCTGCAGTTTTTCGACCACGGCCGACTCGTTCCATAACTCTTGATGAAATTTCTGTGTTTAAAATGGAATAATCATTATCAAAATCATACTCATAGCGTAAAATTTTTGGTTCGTTGCTAAACACCTTAACTTCCATCACTTTAAACCATAAAATTTTATTGTCTTGTATGTCTCGCACCCAATGTTTTCCCGCAACAAGAACTTTAATGTCATAGAAATTGAACTGTTCCATTTCTTTAACTATAAATATATTGCCGGTAGCCTTTGCATTTTGAATTACATTTGATCTGGGGTGTATATCTTTTTATTTTTCTCTTTCTACGCAAGAGTGCATACTGTCAGCCTCACTTTGCCCGTGTCCAGTTTTAAAGAATCGATGTGTGATATTTAATTTAAAGAGCAAATATGAATTTATTCTTATTTTGGCCTGCACAATCATCAGAATAAAAGGAAATATGTTCAATGCCACGTTCATGTTCAGTGTTCAAAAACTGCCACAATCAACTGCCAATTTCAATTGCTCCTCTTTTTGCTAGTTGATAGTGCCACACGTAACAGAATCCTTGTCGGAGCACCGAGTTATAGAACACCTTCTCCAAATCGAAAATTGCAACTGTACTTTTATTATGATCAAGGTTCTTCTTTTCTTCCTCTTTCAGTTTCCAAACTCTTTCTTTGTTTTTTATATATTTATCATAGTCTTCTTGCAACAATTGTTTCTTGTCATCATCAGCTTGTTTATATAATTCACACTTACCGCACAAATCTCTTTTGGGCACAAAAAGGAGTAATTGTAGTGAGTATTAAACACAGTTTGGTATTGTCTTAGTGTTCCCATCTCTATGTCTTCATCGTAATTTTGATTCTTGAACCAATCTTTATAAAAACGATACATTATTGAAATATTTAAGTATGATAAAAGGTATAGTTTTTGGGATTTTTCTCTGACATAATGTGATTCAATTGTGGGGAATAGTTCAATATGTTTCTTTATACTATCTTCAGTATACGGTCATGAAAACCATTTGCAGATTGAGCTTTTTCTAAAGCAGTATATATAGTTTGATGTGTTACATTCAATGTATTTTTGAAAAATAGTCTACATTCTTGTAATTTTGTGTTATTTATGGGTAAATAGTATTTTACGCTTTGAATTATATTATTCTTGCGGTCTAATGTCATACGTTTTATAGGTTCTGCTGAAGTGTGTTGCACTATAAATTGCCATTGTCGTCACGATCTCCTAGTCTATAATACTTAATATAATACTTTTTTAGCTTAATATTTAAAACAATATTTTTCTTAGATAATGATGTAATAAGTTTACGTCAGTTTACGTATTTATTGTTGATAAAACGTAAAAGAAATAAATTGTGACAGATAATCGTAGATGGGTGTAGGTAATTGTTAAGTTTGATGAACATACCTAAAAAATTTATTACTTACATATAGAAAATTTTTGTCAAACCGGTGGAGAAACCTATCTAAACTGTTGTGTTTGTACAAGAATATCATGCTAATAGCATATATCAATACAATCGCCTGATTTTCTTACGCGAATAACATGATAAAGTAACAATGTCTGCGTAAACAGTTATATTTATGTTGCTAATGTATTAAATATTGTTGTTCTAGGCATAAATAAAAACATTGAATTCGTTGAATATCATGCTAATATTTTGTATCTTTGTAAATACTCGTAGGAAATATCTGGAAAAAATTCACAAGGTGTATTGGACCACGAGGAGCTCAAAAATGCAATAACACTAAAAACATGACAATCGTTTTTGTCATATTATTCTCCGGAGGTAGCGATATATCAATTTGTAATATGACTAATTGATTTACCCATTTATTTATGACAATTATACCACAAAATATTCTGTATCATGCATTTGAGCAGCAAATAACTCGTAAATATGCGAATTGAGTATGTGTGATTATAATAATATAAATAATAGTTTATTGAGCAATAACATAACAAAATTAAAGTAAGTAATATTAGTTAGATTAAATGAAATTACTTACTCTGGGTGTCACTTATTTCAATCATTTTGTATAATGCTTATCTAGGTGGGTGTTGTCATTGACTATACTATTTAATAAATAGCGATTTGTTGTAATTATTAATTAAATAAATTTTATACAACAAATTCATAACCTATATCTCCACGTCATTTTTGTACATTAGAAACACAGACTAGAAACTGAATAGTGTTGTATGTAGTCATTCCAATAGTTATTATTTAACGACAATCACGTGACAATATCGTTTTAATATTTTCGCATTGATAAACGTATTACTTTATATTGAAATTGATAAATAATTACAAAATACGATTATCAAAATAGACAATTACTAAAATCAGTAGCTTTGATTAAGCTATCAATTAAAACGTATAACAAACAATAAAATCAACAGTATCGATTCTATCATCTATTTTTCTCCCAAAAAGTAAAGTTTAATTAATAGAATAACATACTTTTATTCAATAAGTTTCTTAAACTGTGAAAGAATCAGTACGTGCCGTTTAGAGCCGCGGCTACATAGGTATTTCAATAAACTGGTTGTACTCGCATCACAGATGTTGACGTATAGTTTATTAAAATATATTTCACCAATCGCAAATCGCAAATAGGTTTTTAAGAAATAAAATATAACTTTAGGGCTCGTTAATGAAAAAATGGGAGGAAAGCTAAAATATCGATTCATAGAATAATTAATTGAGCCCCTTGTTTTAAATGTTTTTTAGATAGCCACCTGCTTAGTTGATAATAACAATCGAATAACATTGATTGTCATCGACTAAGCTATAATAATCGCCCATCGCTATGCACAACTAACCTAAAATCGATTGATTGGAGCCGCGTCTTATTTTGGTGGTATTTATTATTCTAGTTTTTTTGGCATTGTTCAGAAAGCGATAAAGGCCCGTTTTTAATAGAAATCCATTAGATCGGTAAATCAAAACCATATAACTATATACAATAAAAGATTATTGTATGAACGCGGTTGAATGCTAAACAAGTTAATAGTGTCATTTCCTAGTAGGTGATTGAAATATTGATATAATGGTGCGTGGAGCTGGTAGAGGTGGACGAGGAATGCCGGGACGAGGGGGAATGGGACGCCCACCCTTCAATAGACCAAGGGTTTTAATGTTAAGACCTCCTTTTGACCTCATATTAGCAGAACCAGCCTTCCCGAGATGTAAACCGGCACCTGATGACTCCGCTCTTACTCAGGTAATTTTCGTTTACTTATCCGTAATTTACACTTAATATAAGATGTTAATGTTGATGTATGCATCTTAATGTTAGATAATCTATTTACATGCTTAACAATAACTTATAAAAATTATTTTCTGGAAATTTTTATATAACATATTTGTACTTATGTTATGTTTCTTATATTTACATTGAAGTTATAGCTGAGTTGTTTGTTATAAAAATAAAATCCTTATGAAATAGATCCTTTTGTTGAAATTACCACAACTTAATTTCTCTTTTAATAAATCATCTATTACCTTTGAAAAATATAACAAATTTACAAAAATTATGTGCAATAAAACTGCAAAAGTTGTTTTTAAGTTGACATTCTCATAAATTCTTTCAATTTTTCAGGCACTCCTCAAAAGACATGCAGAACTCTGTCCGTCGCCAGCGGAACAGTCGGCGGTGCTCAGTCTCGTTACCAAACTACAGAGTGTGCTAGACAATTTGGTAGTAGCACCGGGAGATTTTGCCGCTTGTGTTAGTATACTACTTTGTACCTTATCTATAAATATATAAAAGGTGATATCCTGACATACTGACTGACAGACAACAACAGCCTAAACCACTGGTCACAAAGACTTGAAATTTGGAGGATACATGTGCCTCTATACATAGATGTGTACAAAGAACTGATTTTTGGAAATTCCACCCTGAAGAGGGTCGAAAAGGATGAAAAGTTAATATAAAATATTAAATATTTTTGTACTTATATTGATGAAAATTTGTGCTTGAGTAGTTTAAAACCCTAGGAATTTGATAAGTTATGTTTAATCCTGAAAACCAGTGCTTAAAAGGATGAAAATAGGAGTGAATGTTTTTATGAGTAATCAAAATGTTACCATAGCAACCATTGTTTACTATTTGATTTTTCATTGCAATAAATCTGTTGAATAGTATTTATTAAGATTTCCTTATATAGTAATGGTAATTGGTATTTGAGTACATACATAATTTATTACAATAATTATATTTTAAATACAAATCTTTGAAAAGAATTAATTACATATCATTTGATATATAAAAGAAAACACAAACTATACATATATTTGTGCTGTGCTAGATGGCGTTAAGTATATTTCTACAACACACTGTTTGGGTCAAGGTTGAGTTTATTTTTTTATAATATAGTTTGTAATAATACAATTTAAGTAACTTAACTGTTTATTCTTAAATATGATTTGTTAAAATAATCTACTTATAATATTTAATCTTCTTGACATTCCTATAATGATTTGATCTGCATGATTTAGTCAGTTGAAGCCACATTTCCAATACAAAAGCGACATTCATTCGAGCTTAAAGGTTCATTAAACGTTAATGGACCTTTGTGCAACTGACTGAGTGTTGCTTTAATCTAATGACAGTTTGTGCAACTGGCTGGTAGACCTTAATATTTAATTTGTACTGTAAAGACTTAGTCTGAGTGTAACTAAACCAATAAATAATTTGATTTGAAATACAATGTAGTAAAAAAATAAAACTTAAAGCTTTGCTATACTAGATGGCATTTAATATTATCTAAACTTCATTATCGTTTTGTTCAAACATTTTTGAGTAGATTTCAGTTTTCAATTAAGTTTTGTATAAACTTTACAAATGTTTAAAATAGGAATTTTAAGTATATAAGTTCGTCATTGTCAAACATAAAAACATGAAACTTTATATACAAGTATGAAGTAAATTTGTTTTAGCATTTTTAGAAATGCTGCCCAAAGTAACTAAACTATGCGGATGAAGTTAGTAATTTATAGGATGTAAAGTACATAGTAGCAATCCCATTAATAAGTAGTATTCAAATGATTTATATGGTATTCATAAATTATTAAGCATATGTAGGATATTTGAACAGAAGCAAAGTACAAACATATTGTTGTTTCGCTCTCACTGGTGCATATAACCAATTTTGTCCTCGTAATGTGAACCTTAAATATTAATGTTAAATTGGCACAAAAATCAACAAACGGAATTCTTTTCAGCAACCTTTTGCTTTTAAAATTTCTGTCTGTACTGTAAAGTTGATAAAACAGTATGTTTTACTCTGATCGAGTTATGATATTATTATTTTAGAATTTTTTTAAACTATCACTTCAAAATATACCCAGAATACATAACTAATGTTAGTCTTTGTTTCTTCAGCAATTGGAAGAGGTTCGCCAAGTGGGGTCATATAAGAAAGGCACTATGATGGCAGGAAAGAATGTAGCTGATATTGTGGTCATCATGAAGACCCTGCCTACCAAAGAAGCGGTGGAGGGTCTGTCCAATAAGGTATGTAAGAAATTTAATATGGATTCAGAGTGATAATTTTCATTTATAATAACTAGCATGATAATTATTTTGATAAATATATCTTAATTATTAAAAGGGATATTATCATGTAAGTTTCTGATAGAGTAAAATTGTCTAGGACGGATTATAAAAAAAAATACAAACCTCCTTTTTATTTAAAAATATTTTAATTCCACAATTCAATGTAGAACACATTGAACAAAAAGTGATGAGTGAATTAAAATAATTTGGATAGGTGGTGATAGGTGACCAAAAATTGATTGCCCTTGTATGCTTTCTGGCTATATTCATCAGTACCCATCGAGGCATCTGCCCCATTAATGGACTGACAATGGCTATAAGGCTGGTGCTACATTGTCCAGAGTGTAAAGTGTGCAGAGGATGCAAGGAGGAGGAAGAACCCTTGCACATTTTGACTGATTGCCTTTTGCTAATGCGAAAACGATGTATCTGTCTGGGGAAGCACGTGATGCACCCAGACGATATTAAAGAGCTCACGGCCAAGAAATAACTATATTTTCTTGCAGAATGTAATCTTGACCGTGAACTGTAGTATTTAAAGACAATAGATCAGCAATGGTCGCAGTAATATTGGGCTGCATGAACCCAAGATAATCCACAACTAGGTTTTTAAGAGGTTGGTGCATGAGCACTATCTTCATATATAATTATTTCAAATGCGTTTTGTATTATATTTTTTTTTATGTATTTATTTATATTTAATCTATATTTACATATATATTTGTTTTGGTATATATAGTATTATGCTTTTATTAATTTGTTTGTTGTAATAATTTTTTGGCCACTGTCTTTTTTTTTGTGTTTTGCTTTTTATTATTATCGCCTAACATCTTGACTCCAACATCTGTTACTGGTAGACTTGGTAGATGATTGTGTTAAAATGCAATAAAGAATAAATAAATAAACTAGAAACAAGGACCAAGTGGATTTTGAAGGCGTTTTGTATTAAGAATAATACAATACATCATCCGCAGGTGAACGAGGAGGTGAACAAGCTGATGGCGGCGGAGGGCGGCGGCTGCGTGACGTCATCGTGCCACGAGCGCGGCTTCACCGTGGGCGCGCCCTCCGCCGCCGTGCGCGTGCTCGTCACCACGCTGCACCAGAACCTGAGGAAACTGGAGCCCGACGTGAGCACATCTGTTTATTTATTTACTAGCATTCCGCTAGCGGCTTCGCCCGCGTGGTAATGTTACTTTGAGCAGCATTTCTAACGAATATTTATTCATTATATCGTGTAAAATACCTGAAGTTTCATCCCCTATTTTATTCCCTTGGGGGTAGAATTGATCAAAATCCTTTCTTAGAGGATGCTTAAGTCATGGTAGCTTTGTGCATGCGAAGTCTCAGCCCTATCGGTTTAATATTGACAAAGTTTCATACAAACTTTCATCCCCTATTTTATCCCCTTGGGGGTTGAATTGATCAAAATCCTTTCTTAGAGGATGCTTAAGTCATGGTAGCTTTATGCATGCGAAGGCTCAGCCTCTTTTATCCTCTTGGGGGTTGAATTGATCAAAATCCGTTCTTAGCAGCTGCCTACGTCATAACATCTACCTGCGTGTCAAATTTCAGCCCGATCCGTCCAGTAGTGTGGACTGTGCGTTAATAGATCACTATGTCAGTCAGTCAGTCACCTTTTAGTTATATACATATAGAAGAGCTTTCCGCCAGCGGCTTCGATAACAGCAATCATTGTTTAATTGAATAGTAAACAATGGTTGCTGTTATCATAGCATAGTTTTTCATACATATATTTTTGGTATCTTGAACAGTTTTCGCAGCGCACGCAACGGAAGCCCTCAAAGATTTTTCTACATTTGCCATTATTTCTTCGCTCCTAATAGTTGCAGCGTGATGTTATATAGCCTAAAGCTTTCCTCGATAAATGGTCTATTCAACACAAAAAGAATTTTTCAATTCGTACCAGTAGTTCCTGAGATTAGGGCGTTCAAACAAACTAACAAACTCTTCAGCTTTATAATATTAGTATAGATTAGCGTTGCGTTAACCTTTGTTATCAACTTTAATCTCTAATGAATGTTCGTTAATAAATTTGTCTCGGTAATGACTCGGTATACATACATTGCTTAGAACTCAAATTAAGTAGCTAAGCGCTTGTATTAATGAAATCTTAAAAAACAAAGATACTGTGGCACTCGAGACAATGTAGAAAAGTTCATTTTCAGCATGGACCGTACTGGGTCCCGACCTAGGACCACAGCGGTAGCGACAATGTGAAACTGACGTGCGAGCCTTTATTTAAAAAAATAATCAACAAAAAAAAAAAACAGGATAAGTTGCTGGAAAGAAGACACCTGAAGACCTATTCTATTTATACGAAAACGAAAATTCGTCTATTTTCGAAACCCAAATACAACTCTTAACGAACACATTTTTCGATAATTTATAACGAAACGGAGGTAGGACCCTGACACTGCTTCTGATGCACAAATAACGACGCATATGATTTATAAAAAAATGTAAGAAAGATTAGAAATTTTTGTAATTTTCGTTAGAAGACAAACAAAGTAGCCCCGCTGGTCGTAGAAGTGAAGTGAAACAAAGTATGAGAAGCTGACTGCCAACGCCCAATAGTTGGGGAGGCACCTTAAGAAGAAGTATGCAAATAAGAACGTTATTGAACTATAAATAACTTAATATAAAAATTTTAATTATGCCACCACGAAATCTGCCTGTTGTATACACCTTATTATAACAGATGTATATTTATCATCAGGTACATTTGGACTACAAGGTGATAAACAGCCACTTGGCAGCCATTAGGCACAGCCGCTGGTTCGAGGAGAACGCTCACCATTCCTCCATCAAGGTAACATTTTATTTATGATATATAATATAGAACAGCAATAGCGTAATCGTCTTATTTAAAAACCATTATAATCCCTTTCAAATATATAGAGGTTGTGATAGAATTGTGTAAATTTTTAAGTAGCAACCGCTTTTGGAATGATGTAAAATATCATTGGTTCCACCAATTTTGACTTTTTGAATTGAATGAAAGTATGATTTAAGATATTATCTGTAATGAGCAGTGGTCGGAATTAGGTAGAGTTATTCATGTACTTACACTGATTTCATACAGCGAAAGAATAAAGTGGATATGCCTCAAATCCCGAGATTAATTTTAAATAGCAGAAAAAATCCCGTGATTTTTTAAATAAAAAGTTATTTACTTTTACACAATTTAAACTACTGCACGCACGACGTTGCCAAACTTACATCAATGACAGCGGATGTCCAAAGTTGCAAAATACCAATACGCGCGATGTTGCTACATTTGTAGGGAAGGTCCACGTTAATATAAACATTTCGATGCAAGTACATAAATAACTCTACCTAATTCCGACCTCTGGTAATGAGTCTTGTCACAATTACATTTTTTTTTTCAATATAAGTATTAGATAATGTTACATTCACTGCTCAGATTCCATGATGAGTAGCTAAAGCCCCCGTGGTATGGAGTATGTGAGACAATGAAGGTACTACAACACCCAGACCAGATTTTTACAATATACTGTTACTAGTTTTAATAGCTCGTAATGTCCTAATTATGTGTTCTTAGAAAATAAACAACATAAAAAAAAATAAATCATCTTCAAACTTCAAAAAGCGAAAAATTAATACTTATTCAAGGAAAAGCTATTGAAATCGGGCAGAGGTTTTCTGTAGGTTATTATATTAATGATAGGCTTTTAAGATAAGTATTATTTTTCACTTTTTTAAGTTTGAAGTTGGTTCTATTTTTTTAAAGTTTTTATTTCATGCTCTTAAGTGATATTGATATTTTTTATATAATAGGTAACACTAAAAATAGTTTTCTAAAAACCGCTTCAAAGTCGGTTCCGCCAAACGCGAGATAATCGCGGACAATACACACAACACGTATTAAAGTGCGAACCTCAATTTTTTTACTCGGTTAATATACCTAAAACCTTCTCCTGAGTCTGACAAACACTATACCAAAAACCGCATCAAAATCGGTTCAGTTAAACGCGATATAATCGCACACAAACACATACATACGGGACAAACTGAGGACCTCCTTTTTTCGATGTCGGTTAAAAACACTGCTTGATCTTGATTAGGTGTTGATCCGTTTGTTGCGCGACATGTGCGCGCGCCACTCGGGACTAGAACCCCTGACCCCGTGGATGATAGACCTGCTGGCACACCACTGCATCATGAACAACCCCGCGAGACAGGCGTTACCCATCAACGTAGCATTCAGGTCAGTTTCGTATATCATGCAGTTTAAATCTACTATTAAACACTTGACCGTTATTTGAAACTTTATGGTTTGAGATAGGCCCTATGGTTTCCTGCTTGCCTATTTGCCTCTCTTTCTACATATTTTGCCTTTCACTCGCACATCTGACGTCTACTCGACCACCAGGCAGGCTTTGCGCGCTTGCTTCATTGGCGTCTTGTTTCCTGCAGCGCACGGACGTGCTTCAACGGGTATCTAGTGAGTACATTAACGAATCTTTCTTCTTAGAAGTCAATTGTTGTAGATACCCTAGCCTCTTTTATTATATTTAAAATTCATGAAATGAATTCAAAAAATTTTTATTTATTTTTTCAAAGTAATAATTTTATATTTGGTTTTTTATACGACCTCCGTAGCCGAGTGGTTCGCACGCCGGTTTCAAGGTGTCGCCATCTCTGAGGTCCCGGGTTCGATTCTCGGTCGGGTCAATGTAGAAAATGAACTTTTCTATATTGTCTCGGGTCTGGGTGAGTCTCATATACTCCATAATATGGGAGCTTTAGCTACTCATCTTGGAATCTGAGCAATGCATGTGATTTTTTTTTATATATTATATATATACAAGTACGTAAATCTACAATTTTGCCAACCATATATGAATCATTTTTGATCAATAGGGTAGACTTTACTTTCTTTTGAAATTGTTCAATTTCAAATGTGTAATTATTTATTTTTAGAATTTATCAACTACCCTCTTTTTGCAATAATAAAATTCTTTTATCTAGATATTTTCAGAGAATCATTAAATCATTAACTTTATAATGAATAATTCAAATGATGGAAATGTTTACAGTAATAATGAGAATACATTACATAGTGATACGGCTAATAACGGATCTCACAATCGAACAAAGAAACGAAATAAGCGTTGTCGCAGTGCCTCGAGTAGTAGCTCTTCGAGCTCCTCGTGTAGTTCTTTGTCATCCTCATCGTCTTGTACAGAACCTGTGCGGTCAAAGCGTAACCGTCAACGCGAGATCGTCGTTTCAGTAAATTAATTCGCGAAGTGTGTCCTACGTAAACGAGTGTCTTATTACGATATGCCATCTACGTCGCGTTCGAATCGTAATTACGAAGAAATTATAGATGGTAACGATAGCGAAGAGTTACTTCGAGATTGTAACGTTAGCATTTATTCTCAACCCGGTTTTAATTTTGAAATCGAAACAAAGTTAAAGGAACCCTCATTTCCTAAAAACATCGAAGTTTTTTTTTTTTAAATATTAATAGATATTCAGTAGTTTCATAATAACGAACGGTGTTAAGTCCGTTATGCAGACACTCGGAAATCTTATAATCTTTCACCCGCATTAACTGATTTAGACGTTAATGATGAATTAAAGATATTTGAATGATAAACCATTTGCTGCGTTAACTTTTGTGTACTGAAGCAACGCGATGCTTTATAAACAGCCTTACGATCTTTGCTGCAATAGGAACACGATTGCAGCAAAGATCTGTATTACTTAGGCCTTATCACCACAAATTATTTGTGGTGATAAGGCCTAAGTAATACAGATGAGGAGAGACGCTATTGTAAATTTCGTTCGAGATCCGTTAATTAAAGTAGCCTTAAGAAAAATTCCGCCATACTGCTAACAAGGCTAACGAACCTCCCCTCGCTGGGGCAGGTATTTCTCAATGCTCCCTCGCAGGGAAGCGCTCATGGATATTGTGCATCTACGCATATTTCCCATGTAAATCAACCTCCGTAAGGTTGGTATCAACCTCGTTCCTCGCAGGGACAGAAGGTACAAAGCAGAACGTTTATTCAAACAAGAGGAATTTACTACCCTCCTATAAAAACAGGTAGAGTGCGAAAAGTTTTTATGATCTTGAACAAAGCAGACTAACGAACCTCCCCTCGCTGGGGCAGGTATTACTCAATGCTCCCTCGCAGGGAAGCGCTCATGGATATTGTGCAACTACGCATATTTCCCATGCAGATCAACCTTCGCAAGGTTGGTATCAACCTTGTTCCTCGCAGGGACAGAAGGCGACAAGTAGTGATTTTCATTCGGCCACTTTGTACAATAGAGGCTTTGGTGCAAAGAAGGTCGTTTGAACAATAGAGATCACGATCACAATAGAGGACGTAAACATACAGGTCCATCCATTGAGAATAATGCGCACGCAATTAATGTAAGTTTTGACAAACAGGCACTCAAAGGGGGCCAGTTGTCGCAATATCATCACCGTTGGCGTTACTGGGCGCTCCATATTATATTTTGAGGCTCAATCAGGGGTATCGCATACCCTTTCTTCGGGGGTATCGCAAAGTCGTAGTTGTGCCAAATCCTCATGACATTCGGTTTGCCACTCCTATCACCGACACAATGACATCGTTAATATTACTATTATAGAGTCAAGCTGTTCTCGAACCAGTCAAAATAGCACCACGCTTTCTTTCAAAGATGTTGCTTGTTCTAAAGACCGATGGCTCTCCACGGCCCATTTTCAACCGTTAAACGATTTTGTCATAACAGCCCCAAAAGTCACAAACTGGGTAGCCTAAAGTCTACGAGCAGGGGGGATACGTATAACTGTTACTGGGACGATTTTCCCATGACCCACTTAGATCAGCAGGTCTAACAATGTCGAGCTCAGCTCTCGAAAGAAAGCAGTTTCTTGAGTGGCAAGTAAATCTGGAAAAATCTATACTAGTTCCTCAACAAAGCCTTGTTTTTCAGGGGATGAAAGTAGCGCAGCAAAAAGAATTACAGCCTTATCGGCCTATTTAATTTTTCCAGCTTCGTAATCCCTCAAGGGCGATTACATATATATACCAATCCACCCTTCTATGGCAAAGCGACAACAAAACAGCTATTGCTTACATTCGAAACGAAGGTGGAACAAAATCCGCATCTCTGATAAATATGGCTTACCAAAACTTTCAGTTAATGAAGCTGCATTTAATTTGAATAATTGTGTATCACATACCGGGAAGGTACAACGGCCATGCAGATCATCTATCTCGTTTCTGATTACCACCAGAGTGGCATCTTCTACCTGCATGTGCAGAAATTGTGTTCAAAAAGTTTGGTGTGCCTGTGATAGATTTATTTGCATCAAAGACTGCTCATGTCGTTGCGAATTATGTTTTTTGGACCAAAACGATGTTTATTCAATTTATCACGGAGCTTTTTCCCGTTAATAGAACTATGCGAAAGGTTGGATTTTCCTTCCTCCTTATCTAATTTTCAAAGAATTTAGTCACCTCAACAAAGCTCAAGGCACTTATTTCGTCAATGGGATCGAGTAATTTGGTGAGCAGGTCTGAAATCCAGAGCACTGGTTCCACCGTTTACCATACCCCACCTAAGTCGTTACCTGATAGATACCTCAACGAATTTTTCCATCTTCGAAAGTACAAGAGATGATATTGGTAGTGTGGATTTGTAGGGCTGGTCAAGTAACGTAACTGACAGCTCAATCTTTTACAATCATCATGGCGTTCATCTACGCGCAAGACATATAGGGCAGCCTGGCTTAGATGGCTTAAATGGAACAAGCTACATAAGTTTAATGCTTTTCAACGTAATGGTTCAGTATAAGCAAGGTTTTTAGCTTATTTATACCTTAAAGAATTATTCTCTTATTTATAACACAGTATTGTTACGTAATATCCACGTTGTGTAATACAGAACTATCAGGTTCCCATAGTTCTCACGTGTTTATTCGACACGTTGTTACGTCAATTTCTTTTAAAAACCCCGTAACACACAAAACGTCTGTTTGGGATGTTGATAATAATCATATGTCTTTTTTAAAACATTATACTTTGACAAAGAAAGCAAATTCTTAGTCTCTGGACACACTGCAATGTGACTTTGTTTAGGTCGTAGAGTTCATGACCTTACTTTATTAGCAGTAGATTTTGACCATTTTAAGAGAAATGACGACTACATTATTTTAAAATGTAAATTTATATATCTACTAAAACTATTGCACATTATCAAACAGTAAATATGTGATACCCTTATTTTATGACGTCTGTTACCCCATATTTTAATGCAATAAATGATTGATTGATTGATTGATTTATGGCCTAGGTTTGGATCTAAATCTGATAATTCTAACTGCAGGCAATCGGATTGGAAAATAATGACAGATACAAGCAATAAAAATCTCGATCCCGTTTATTGGGTAAATAAATGTATGAACCTATTACAAGATCGACAAATAATCTTTCAGTCGACGAAATCTTATATCTCGTAGTAACTGGAGATCTGAAAATACTTTTAGAAAATTTTATAAACGTGAACGTTTCCAACTTCAGCTATAGTACGAATCAAAATATTATAAATACTTTTGTAACAATTACAAATTGATTAATTATATAAATTTAAGCAACATCACTGATTTTGTACTACTTTCAGTTTAGTAATTATTACAAATTGCATTGACTTAATAACTAAGTAAGTCTTTGCTACATAATATCAAGCTTATTTAATTTGATACAAAGATTGTACCTCGTATATCGAACTCTATAATATGAAACAAACAATTGTGTAATTTTCTTTCAAATCCATTTTCATGTCTAATGTCACATTGGCGTCGTTCATCTCCACCAGGCGATAACAAACACGTCTCAAACCATAAAGTTTCAAATAACGGTCAAGTGTTTAATGACAGCGTTTTTCCTGAAATAAAACGCTTATTAAATACTTACCTTATTTGAAACTTTAATTTAAATGCTGCCTGGTGGGTTTTTCGACTCAATGAAGCAAGCGCGCAAAGCCTGCCTGGTGGTCGAGTAGACGTCAGATGTGCGAGTGAAAGGCAAAATATGTAGAAAGAGAGGCAAATAGGCAAGCAGGAAACCATAGGGCCTATCTCAAACCATAAAGTTTCAAATAAGGTAAGTATTTAATAAGCGTTTTATTTCAGGAAAAACGCTGTCATAAAAAAAATACTTATTAAAAGAGCTTATTATAAGGTATCCGATTATATAACAGATG